GCTCAGATCTCCATCCTGGTTTATGCTGGTTTTGATAGTATTTACTGTTAAGGGGCAAAACCCTGGAAATAACAGCTAGCATCTCTGTCTGGTACTGGTGTCTAATGGGAGACTAACCATGAGACATTCTTATCACAGTAGCAACAACTATTAATTTTTCCATTGATATTACAAATTAACAATGCAAAAACAAAATCTTGGTAAGTATTTTTGGTCCAGTTTCTTAAATATCTTGAAATAAGACAAAACTGACTTACAAGTAACTTTTCAGCTTGTTTTAAGTCATTTCTTAATATTAATAAAAAACTGCTAGCTCCACCAGTAGATTATCTCCCTTATAACAAGACATTTTTCACATATCACACGTGAAATAATTTGCCAGTGAAACTTGTAATTTTTTTTATCAATATTAAGGAATTATTACCTTAGGACAAACTCCAATTTCTTGCCGAAAAGTCATTTGTAAGCTAGTTTTGTCTTATTTCAAATGTAGTCTGAGGCTGCTGAAGAAGTGATTTGTTTGTACCCCGAGCCAAGGTCACAAAGCTGGTGGGAAAAGCAAATAAGAAAAAACGACACCACATTTATCCTTTCAATAAACACTAAAAATGGCTTCCACATAAAAAAAAAACACCATAAAAGGATCTGTGTAAAATCTGTGTAAACAGCCACCATTCTCCACATGATACCATGTCAAATCAAGCATCATATTTTCATAAGCCTGTCATGTCTCTTCAGTTTAAAGCTCTAATGTTGATTAGCTGTCATGTAGAGTACATCAATGCACAGTCACTGCAGTAAGCAGTGGCAACGCTAATGGTTCATTTGTTCAGGAACAGAGGACACACACGGAACTTTCTAAAAAAGAAATAAAATAAAAAAAGGCCTAAAAGGACAGGCTCTGTGCCGGGACATTTTTGTTTTTGCACAGTTTTGTTCCCCGTATTTACATAATTGAGTTTGTTTGACTGGAAAATATTTAAAAAAGCCAAGGGAAAATGGGCTCTATATGATCATGTCTTCAGGCCATTTCACATGGAGTCCTGGCTCAGACAACGTAGGCAGCATGACGCGAGCTAATGTGTGCTTCAATAAAGAAAAAAGAAAAACTCCCACAGATTAGCATCATTTTTATAATCTCTAATTACAGAGGCAAGCATGTGCATCAAGAGATGTGAAAGGAATGCAGAAATAAAACGGTGTCAGACGCGCTCATCTGATTGTCTCCTTTTAGATGTTTATCTGATGAATAGCTCAGTAATATTGTGAACTGTCACATATGTTGCAACACAAAGAAACACACACCAACCACTGAACTGGAGCGCATCAGGACAAAAAAGGGGGAGGTTTCATTTTTATTGTTGCATAAGAAGACTGGTTCATAATCATAATAGGTGGCAAAAAAATACCCATAATTCCACAGAACATCCTTGTAGATAAACTTTCAAATGGTGGCATGTGGATAAAAGACATTCCAGGTAATATTTGAATTGTTACCAACACATTTTTAGCATTTTTAAGTTGTAGACAAGAGATAAATAATTTATAATAACAGATCAGAATTTAGTCACAAGACTCTGGACTTAAACCCCAAGACTAAGAGAATGTGGCTCCAAAAATAATGGGATTAAAATGACTTGTCGAAAATGTAATAGTTGAAACCCATGACGATGTATTAATAGAACTAAGAAATAAATGTAGAGATTACACAGCTCCAGAAGCAGAGATGCAATTATAATGCTTTGAAACTAATTGACAGTGACCAATCATATCACAAGACAATCTGGGGCAGAACAGCAGTTCTTCAAACAAGCTGAGAACATAAAAGATTTCTGTCGTCAAACTCTGGCCACCACACTAACCAAATGTGACCAGTGGTTTCCCCCACCCCCAACACAAAAAACAATGGTCATACACTACAGGAACCATTGGACACTAGCATGGCAATCAAATATTCAAGAAAGGAAAGGAGTATGGAGAGCATACCAGTCATACATCTCTGACCAATTGTAAAACCTTGTATGAAGGACTAGTGTGACTTTTATCCTGCATGTAGAACGGTGCACCATCTCTGCAACCTTGCAGAGTTGCTTGAGGAGATAATGCCAGTTTAATTGTTCTGTTCTCATGTGTTTTGTGAATTTGGTGAAGGATTATATCCAACCACGTCTGTCCCTCAAGGATGGCGCCTCCCAAGACGGCTGCAGCCTCAGGCACTCGCCTTCCCATGTCTTATGCCGTCTGTCTCTTCTTGGGACGGGCTGTACTGAATGGAAATTTGTTGTGCTTCTGTACAGCAACAATAAAGGAATTCTGATTGTGATCTGATTGGACTCTGTGGATGGTCCTATAAAAGTATGGGGTACAACTCTAAAGCAGGATTGGGTGGAGCTGTGCCTGTCTCCAGCCATCATGGGTGACAGGCAGAGTACACCCTGTAGAGGTCACCAGTCCATCACAGGACATTCTTAAGGACGATCTAGTTCATATAAAACCAAAGCAAGAACTGTGTCCAAATTGCTTGTTTCACATTTCCAGTAAGGTTTGTGCAGCTATAATCGTATGTAAAAGAGGATCAAATTCTGCCAGAAGACTGTAACTGAAAAGGTCATGTGGGTGAAGTGTTCAACCATGCATTTAACTAATATAAAACTTAAACTTTTACTTTAACTTATAACTTTGACCTACTAAAGATTATGCGTTCTACAAAGGTCAAAATGATCTTAAAACATTTTTTTTTTTTTTTTATATGGTTGTATATGGTGGTCGCCCAAGCCCCACCGCCAAACCCATTCCCACTCTGCCCCCTCCCCCCCATCTTCGATTCATTAGGCTGTGTTGCTTGGCTTCTTTCCCCTGCAGACAGTGATGGATCTGATTCATTTCATGGTGGTCATTTCTGGTAGCTTTCAGTCCCATTCCGCTGGGTGACAGAAGCAAACTGGTCTGCCCCCTCACACCCCCCAAAACCTCACATATCCACCTCACCAGTGCAGCAAAGCAAAGAAGTGAGGTAAGAATCTCTGTTGAGATAACCTTGCTTTTCTTGCAGCAGTTTTTAATCTGAGCCCAGTTATGATAAAGGTTTTTATCATTGCTAGCCTCTCTACATGTTGGGGATTCTGAGTTTAAATGCATAATCAAAGTCAAGGCAGCCTCAGTGCTGTGGGTGATTTAAGCTGATGAGCTGACCCCAGATTAATCTAAAAGAGATTAAGAAGGTCACAATAAGCAATAAATCAATAAATCAATAAATCACATGATAAGTTAACACAAGCTCTGTTATTTCCGTTTGCACGTCTTTAGTCAGCTCAATTTTGTTTACGGAGACTTAAGTCTTTTATTTGTCGTTTTTGTTGTTTTATTTATTTATTTTGGTTATTTAAAATGTCTTCCAGTTCCAGTGTTAAATGTTTATTAGAATTTAAAGTTTATTGATCTTTGAGAAGGTGTATCATTATGCCATTGCTATATTACTTGAAAATTGTCTCAAAACAACAACATTATTGTTTATCGCAACAACTTCTGGGACAATTTATCGTCTAGCAAACTGTGTTATTGTGACAGACCAAATCATGAATGGATGGAGGGACATAAATGGGTGGAATATAATACTGGACATTATTACACCTACTTCTTTCATAGTTGATGTGAACTTGCATAACACGTCAACCTGTTGTTTCATGGCAATTAGTGTTTCAATTAGCAAAATCTTTGTAAATAGTCAAAACCTCATGCTGTGGATCAAAGTAAAGAAATGGGTAAAAAAAAAAAAAAAAGGGGGGCTCTTCATCTTCCCGCAGGAAGAATGATTTGATTTTGTCTCCTTTTTTTTTTTTTTCCTGAAGATTTAGGCATAAATGTGTGCTCGGTGTCAGCCTCTCTACAGAGTCTGGTCAGGGATTAAAGTCGACAGGAGACTGACTGGACTGGAGCGATAGGACTCAGTGAACCTTACCACTGAGCTCCCCAGGAGGGACACATGTCCTCTGCTCTGTGTCTGAAGGTGGAAGGAAGGAGAGCGAGAGATGGAAAACAAAATACTCCACAGATAAAAAAATAAAAATAAAAAAACTAAATAAAAAAATTAACTGTCAAACATGGTGGCCAGTTTCTAATGACTTCAGCTGTAGTCAGTGGAGAATCACAAGATGGGGGTCAGAATTAGCTTTGAAACAAAGAGGAAAAACAAGTGCATGGCGTGTGGCAAGTGTGTAAGAAGAGAGAGAGACAGCGCTTGAAGGATGAGAATTAGCAGGGAGGGGCACAGCGTGGTACTCCAAACTGACACATAGCCACAGGACACAGGCTCCAATTAGAGTCACAGCAACTCTAATCAAATCTGATCTACAACCACTGGCTGCAGGGTGACTCAATGTGCATGTGCGTGTGTATGCATTCACACCTGCACTCCACAATTCTGCTCCACAATCAAGCTGTGCATCACAAAAAAATGATTTCTGAATGAACTTCTTTTTTTGTTATGTATTAAAAGATACAAAACACATTGGTTTGACTGTTAAATGTCACAGAGGATGTTTGTGAATTGAAACAAATGTAATTTTTTGTGCTGTTGCCTCATAACAAAAGTTCTACTTGCAGAACATAATCTGCAGAATTGAGAATTGAAGAAAAAAAAAAGTTTCTAATTCAGTGGAATTTAAATGTAGCAGTCCCCTATTTGCTTTTTAATCTGCATCTCATCTCTCATCATCTTAAAAACAACAAAGTAGGTTTCTGTCCTGCAGTAACGACTTCCACTCTGATGAGTGTTATTAGCAGCAAAACTCAGTAGCACTTAGGATAATGTGTCCGTTAATCAGGACATGGACAAATTTTGTGCTTAGTCACATCTCCAAGCTAACTCAGGTGAAAATCAACATACTTCACTCAACACCCAACATATCTGGACTTGTAGGGATGACAAACTGATGCACGAACTAACTCAGAAATTATTTTGACAGAGATTAGCGATGACTCTTGATTTTCTGTTTGCTTACCTCGCCGTCCTTAATCAACCGCCGGGCCACGATGAGCTGAATCATCCCACGTTTGTTGCCCTCTACTGACATGGACTTCCGAAGCGCCTCCATGGCATCCTGATTGGTCATCCCAAGCAGCGACTCCCCATTGACTGCAATGAGTTGGTCATTGACTCGAAGACGTCCGTCCTGCACACGAACACAGCATTCAGCAACCATTTGTGAATCTTCATCAGATTCACTGTGTTTTCACTTAAAAAATCCCACCTGATCTTTATTGCCCGCAAACATTTCTATCTAACTTACAACTTTATCAAAAATACTACTTGTCTTGATCAAACTCAACATCAAGTAACACCGTAGAAAAAAATACCGCAGCAGGATTTGTTTGTATGATGTGCGCCATGGTTACAATAAAGACAACATGTAAAATCAATGATGTCCATCAACATAATGGTTAGAGGATAAGTACAAGGAAGAAGTTGCTACTTGCCTTGCTAGCAGCACCTCCATGAATTATGGATTTCACAAAGATGCCCAGATCAGCATGGTTCTCCTTAGAGCGGTTCCCCTTAACGCTGACCCCCAGGCCAGCGGAGCCCGAGTCATTCAGAGGGACCTCAAACGTCAGAAACTCTCGTGTTCCGTCCGGGGTTAGCACCGTGTCATCGTCCTGTTTCTGAGGTGGACATTGAACAAACAAAAGATATAATAAGATTGGGATCTGCTTTATATCAGTTCATGTTTAGTAAGAATTTTGCACCTTAATCAAAGCACAGACTGATTTATTTTTTTGGTTAGAGATCCCCAACCAAAAGTCACAAACTCGAATAATGGCTTGAGTGTTTTGTCACCAGGCCAAGGAGAAAAACATTTCATAGTAATTTCAGCAGTCTTGACAAGTGGTGTTTTATTTTGAATAACTTGCAAGTGCAAAGTCACTAGAGACAGCAAATCTGTTTGTAGTGATCAAAAAGTACAACACAATACACTAAACCTGGAATTTGATTACATTACTTACTTGCCTAAGTTGACAAAATGATGTTGAGGTCCACTGTTGCATTAAGACACAAAAGAGAAAACAGTGAACCTGGGAGCAGATATGGAAAGGACCGGAAAACTGATCAGAAATACAGGTGACACTCAAAAGAGTGAAAATGACCCAAATGGTAAACAAACCAGACTGTATTAACTACACTGTCTCTCAAAATAAGCATCATTATTGTTTTCCTTTTTATTAATCTAAAAATGATTAAGAAAAAATAACAGATCTTCTTAACTGTGAGGGATGTTTAGTCTCATCCCTTATACAGGAGTTTTATTGTCAATCAGAGCAGTCACAAAAATGACAAAGAACCAAACTTGCGTCACCATTTTATCCTACACATCTGGTGAACTGAGAGGTATAAGTTCACCATAATGCAGCAGATTGCACAAAACAGTTTGTCTGGGCTGTAAAAAGGTAATATTATTAAAGATAATTATAGAATACAGCACAACCTAATGGAAAACAGTTGAAGAAAGATAGATCATGCGCTTTTGCGATAATGTATATCAATGTCTAAAAAAGACTAAAAAGAAAAGAAGACAGTAGTCAGCATTAAACAAGTGGCAGCTTCTTTTCAAGCACGTTTCCGTCTACTGAAAACCTTCTGCCGTCTCCAGAATCTTTTCAAATAATTCATGATCAGTGGTTCACACCCTGTCAGAGGTGTCAGCACAGAAAATGAGCTGAAACAAAATTTTGTTTCACAGCTCTTTTTTTATTTTTTTGAATAGCACTGTGCTTATGAAAGGAGAATGTACTTCTTTGAATTTTACTTCCATAACATTTCAAAGAAGAAGACAGCTCTGACATGATTCAGCCAAGGTCTCTGCTCTCCCTGTGCTCAGAAATACCAGGATTCAATAACCCAAATAAAACATTGGCCAAAATTAATGTTTCCTTTTCAGTCACAAAAAAATGTGTTTGTATTTAGATGAAGGAAGATGATCATCTCATACTAGTAAACTCAACAGAGGAGTTTGAAGGCAGCAGTGAGAGGCTGTCATTTCCCGATTTTAGCTAGCAGTCGAAGCAAAAACCGGAAAATATTCCTATGAACAACTTCATTAACCCCAAACATCAAGAAAAACAGATAAATGGTTGCCGTGTGGATAAGAAAGAAGCAGCAGAGAGAAAGGAAAGACAGAATATAAGGTGTGCGTGTCTTTTTGTGAGTTTTTGGTACGCCGACAATTTATTAGGATGCAGCGGTGCATTCAGGTGGAGGCTCTTTTCAACACCATCTGACTGGGCCCCTATTCTCCATGTGGTGCCCCTTCTGTCTGCCCTCCATTCTTCTCTCTGTTCTCTCTTTCTTGCTTTTAAAATTGCTCTACACCTGTCCGTACAACTTGCCAAAAGGGGGTTTTTGTTTGAGACCGGACTCCTTCATCAATGCCGACCACTGGAATCCATTTAATCGCGCTGGATTTCAACACCTGTGGTTCTAATACAAAAAAAAATAAACAATAAAAATCCCCAGGTCTTGGCAGGAAATGACCCGTTTCTTTCCCTCCAACTGCTGAATGAGGCGGATAGGGGCCAGAAAAACAGACACTTTAAGAGAATTCCTTCTCCGCGCCAGGAGCAAATGTAATGCACCGATATTGTTTAAATTTCCTTGGCTTTTCTGAGCTGGAGAGAAGAGGAAGAATCTAAAACTACTGACATGAGATCTGTTCTTTTGAATGTATATTCGCTAATATGTATCAACTACATACAGTACCTAGAAAAAAGGTTCTGAGTCCTTGAATGTCTTCAAATTTTCTCTCATTAAAACCAGAAACTTCAATGCATTTTTTGGGATTTTAAGTGACAGGTCAACTGTATAACTGCAAAACTAAAATACTCGGCTTTACAAATAAAAACCTGAAAAATGCTAGATTGAGCTCCTTGACAACACTTTATACTGAAAACAAACTGGACTTACAGCTGCAAGTCTTTCGGGGAAAGTTTTTGGCAAACATTTACCCAAACCTTCTAGAGGCTGCAGTCTCTCTGACTTGCTTTTCATCCCTTCCCACTCCTGCATACGGACAACAACAACAGTTGTCTTGTCAGCCAGTTCTTCCAACTGAGCTGTGAAACCCAGTAGGTCCTTCAGAGTTACCATGGGAGTTTTAGTGTTTTCTACAATTAATCTCCTTGCAAGGCTTGTCAGTTTAGGTAAACGGCCATGTCTTGGTACGCATATATGTGAGTTTCTGCATACATATGGTGGATTAAACTGTAACTCCATTAGAAGATTACAGATAGGGATATTCTTTTATAACCAAATCCTGTATTAGTCCTGTAGTTGACTCCTGCCTATTTGCGGCTTGCCTAGCTGAAGGCCTAGCTGAATTCCTAGCCACAATGCTATATGACATGCTATTGGCTAGCATTTACAAAGCAGCCAATCCAGGAGCGCCATTTTGTTTACTTGGCACTGTAAATGAGCAGAAATGAGGAAGACTGCAGATATTAGCTCCTGTAGCAGTGCTGACACGGTTTCCACTGTGTGTATTAATGCATAGTAGGGTATGTTTGGTGTTTGAATGATTAATATATGCAGTTATAAGCATTAAAAGGCATTTCAGGTACTTGTGAATTGTAGCTACTTGCAGGCTGTTGTGGTCTCTAAAAGCACTCCCATACATCATCAAAAGTTTCAAAATCGGCTTTTCTTGACAGTCGCGTGACAAATGTGTTAATTTTGTTCGCAGGGGTACATCCACCTCCCTTTCTCAACAAAAGGTCAAATTATTTTGGACAGGGTGCAGACTGATGTGTTGTGTGATTGTTAGAAATGTGTGGATGTGTTTTTGGGCAGCAATGTTGACATTACTCTTAAACTAGTCCACTTCCACTATCCGGTTTTTGTCTCCTAAGGCACCAGGATTAGATTCGAGGAACATTTATAAGATGCAGTGAATTGCATACATTTGTACGATTCTTCACCAAAACACTAAAAAGATTGCCAAATGGCTAAAAACTCCTGGATGAAAATTGCAAAGTCACTGTCTACAAAGGTGAGTGTCTGCAGAAAGGCGTGGCACTCTCTCTGTGACTGTTTGTGTAAAAGTAACATGGAGAATGCAGGGAGGAGTGGGAACCTCAGCGGGCAGGGTGTGATGGATGGTGAAGTGAAATAGGTGCACGCCGGGTGGTCTGCGAAGTGTGCGAATACGAATGTTCTGCAAACAGACGACCATGTGTCGATCGTTTGGCTTTGGAGGAAGAATGGAAGAGATAAAACCCTCTTGACAACCAGAGACACAACTTTATCCCTGACCTGTCTGGTGTTTTCCTTAGTATTCAGCATGTAGTTGCTCACTAATGTTCTTGAAAAACCCTGATAGAAGCTGGATTAAAGCCAAGACTAAATCACACAAAGGTGGGCTATATTTATGAGTTAGCTGACTTGTAGAAGCAAGTGGGTATGTGGGTATCACCTCAGTAAAAAGAATCAAATACAAATCTACGTTATTATACCAACTCACCAACTGTTCAGCATGCGTTTGCAAGTATAATGAATGTAAAACGAATTTAAATTCTGGCGTGTGCATTATTTAACAGAGAAACATGTTTAAATAGTGATTAAGATCTTCAAATGAAAATGAACAAGCGGTGAACAGATGCTACATCTTTGTGCAGGGTTTTAGCAAACCAGTTCAAGACAACCAGAAAGCTGCAGCTGGAAAAACGACTGGACAGCCACGATGTGAGCCTTTGTGCTATGCGCTAACGCTTGCTTCCAAAATGATGACAGAATAACCACCCACTCAGTGATGTGTTACGGGAAAAGAAGGCCGAGGCAAAGAAAGAGACAGCACTGCAACATTTTCGTCAGACAGGAACAAAAGCCGCTCGCCAGAAATGAGTTTGTCAAGCCGCCTGACAGCCGTTATTGCTCCGATTCAACTGAGGAAGAGTTGAACCTAACCACCCTCACGGAGGAGAAAAAAAACAAAAAGAGAGAGACCGATTTTGTTCATTGTTCAAACCTCAGCACTTTTATGAACCTGGGTAGAAAGCATAAAGGAAGTGACAATGGAGAAAGTGACTGGAAGATGAAAAAGGGGCATCAGCTCAGGGAGGAACAGTCGAATTTATCACAACTAATATTTTATTAAAATGAATATATTGAGTGCATGTTTATCTAAATTTATTCAAACATTAAACAAAAGTAAAATTATAATCTTTGGATCTAAAGTTAGCACACACTTGAAACTAGAGATCAGAACCTAAAATCTGGGTGTAGTAATGGACTCAGACCTGAACCCTCAGAGCCACATAAAGACAATTACAAAGTTGGTCTTCTATCACCTGAAGAACATTTCCCAGATTAAAGGACTAATATCCCAACAAGATCTAGAGAAACTCGCCTGTGTGTTTATCTTTAGTTGCATTGATTAATGTAAAAGTGTTCTCACAAACAGGTGCAGCTGATCCAGAAAGCTGATGCCTGCATTTTCACTAAAACCAAGAAGATGGAGCACATCGCCCCAGTTCTCAAATATTTACACTGCCCCCCTCATAGCTCAGAGAACAGACTTCTGTTAGTTTACAAATCAAAATCATCTAATCATCTTACAAGTCATCTAATGGCTTAGCACCACAAGGTTTTCTGGTTCTGCTCTGCATCCCCAGAACCAAACATGAAGAAGCAGCATTCAGCTTCTATGGACCGCAAATCTAGAACAAACTTCCAGAAAACTGTCAAAACAGCCGAAACACTGAGTGCTTTTAAGTCAAGGTTCGAAACCAAACTGTTTAGAGTTGAACATTGATCAACTTATTGGATGTGTATTGATCATTTTGACGATGACATTTGACAAAAATAATGTCAAAGTGTTTGACAAAGTATAAAGCACTTTGAACTGCTTTGTTATTAAAATGTGTTATACAAACATTTTTCAAGGCTAGTTTAAATACTGTACTCTATCACAGATTAGATAAATGGAGATTAATAGTTTAAACTTTATAAATAAGCAGCCATGTATTCACAACAGTACAGGATAATTAGA